GGCAAGAGAAAACACACCAGGTGGCCATTGTGCTACAGAACGGCACTCAGAGCTCCGCGTACGTTGATGGTCAGCGTGTGGGTGCGCCATGTGAATTGGAAGGTAAGGAAGATAAAAAGATCTCACACTTCTACATTGGAGGGGATAGAGGCAACACAGAGAGCCGAGAAGACGTGTCTGTGACTGTGACGAACGTCCTGCTGTACAACCGTCCGTTGGATGACGATGAGATTACTGCCCTCAACGCAATTAAAGCCCCGATTGCGCCTCCGAAGACCGAAAATGCGCAGGAAATTGTGTTGCCTTCTCCTGACAGAACACCGCATGCGGGAAAGGAACCTTTGAATGCAGGTGAAGGTGCGGACGGTGGAAGTGCATCCCCATCAGCAGTGTCCGCTTCAACGAATTCCGTACCTGTGGGGCAGACCGTACAGCAGTTGGCTTCTGAAACATCTTCCGATGGAAATGCAGATGTGGATGGCGCTTTCTCGTCTAGCGGTAACCCAACTGTGGGGGAGTGGAGTGCAGATACGATACAGGGGGATGGACCACACACACCTTCCGTGGGTGATACCGCCGCCGCCGCAGATACAAACGTTCTTACCGCTGAAACCGTGGGGCACGATGGACCCGCATTGACAACTGATGTGAGCGTGAGCTCTGGTGCGGATGGGGAGACGGCAGGAGGAACGGATGGGCAGGAGGAGGAGATCCATCCGCAGGACAGGGACGCAAATGCTACGGCCCTCAGCAGCAGTTTGGGAAATTTGTCGCAGGGGAATAACAGCGATGCCGGCACTGTGCGTGAGAGGAGGGCGCTGCCGCTGCTCCTTCTTCTGTTGGGACTGTGGGGGTTTGCGGCTCTGTGAGGGGTGACTGGCTGCCGCGTGGAACAATCGCGACCTCCCCTGCACAGAATTGCGTCCAAGAACTAATTCTTTCCCTTCAAATAAATTTTCTTTTCAAATAATTTTTCTTTTTTTGCTTATTTTAAATTTAATTTTCTGTTTGCTACTTTCTTTTTGTTTTTGTTTCTTTTTGTTTTATGTGCGTATTTTTAAACTTTTTTTTTCTTTTTTTTAATGTTTTCGTTTTTTTATATTTATGTTTTGTTGTTTTAATTTTTTACTCCCATCCCTTTTCTTTTCTTTGCTTTTGGGGGCAATCACTATGGACGTTTTTTCTGCTCTTCCCTCTTTTTAATTGTTTCTTGCTGCACTCTTCCTGTGAGGGGTGCCGTGTGTTTCCCGCCCAACTGCTCCACTCGCACACCCACCGACACGCTCATGACGACGGCCCTGTGCGCCTCGCCTGCTGCACGCATGAGGAGGGGCGGCGACGAACGGCGCGCTGAGGGAGCCGTGAAGTGTGGGCGTGCGACGAGGGCCTGTGGGGCGGAACACACATTTCTTTCCCTCTTGTTTTGTTTTCTTTGCGGCCAGGGCGGGCAGACACACGCAGCGCCACAAAAACACAAAGCCACACCCTGCCGCCGTGTCTTTTTTTTTTTTTTGTTTTCTTCTTCTTATTTTTTTGAATGGGTGCTTGCTGCCACCGTGTGTGATTGTTGAGGTTGTGCCGTACCGCATGCATCGCTGCCATCCAGCTGTGCCGCTCGCTGTGCTGATGTGCCTCCCTGTGCCCCTCCTCTTTCCCGCTCCTGCAGCACACACACAAGTACTTGCACAGTGCTATGCAGGAATGCTCTTGGCGACAAGGCTCGTTGGCTGCAGTGACTTCCACCAGGCCTGCAGTGTGCGTGCCGGTGGCGTGGCCCTCTTGGTGCGCCACACCTTGCCGTGCGAGCGCCTGTCGCTGCTGGCACCAACTGCGTGGAGACCACCGCCCTCCGCGTGTGCCCACCGGCCTGCCCCAGAATGCACGTGGTGATCCTCTGCAACCTTCCATCGGCAATTGCCCACGCTGCTCACTTTGCGAGCACCATTCGTCGCTCTGGCTCTGCAGTGCCCATTGCGGGTGACCTGAACCTACACCATGAGCTGCGTGACGGTTGCTCACCTTCAACGGCGTCAGGAGAGAACCTCGCCGCCACCCCAAGCGGCATGGAGTCTGAGCTGTCCGACGACCCGGCACAGGCAGCGCGGATCAGCGGCCGCCACATCTTGTTTCCCGACGTGACTGCGCAACGCGCACTGCGTGTCTCCCACTGGACGTCCACTTGTTTGCATGGAGTCGGGTCGCCATCTGCCATCCCACAGTGTAGGGACGGAGGACGGCATCCCGCGACAGGCAGGCATGCTGCCACGACGGAACATGCTGCCTTTGTCCTGCGTGCAGCTGACTCAAATGCTTGCACCTCGGCGTGTGAAACGCTTCTGGCCACTGCGACCACATGGTTGGAGATGCACCGAGGCACCATACGAGCGGCAAGGCGCACCATCCCGTGCGGCAGCCGTGACAGCTCCCACATGTATCTGGACGGACGGAGTGTAGCAGGCCGAGTCCACTGCAGCGGCAGCATGCAACGCGCACACTGCCTCACCAGGAGGCAGCCTGCCCCGAGCTGAAGTTGCCCGCAAACGGGAGGACCGCAATCATGCCCTCCGCGGTGGTTTCTCCATACCGCTGGAGGTCCGTGCAAAGCAGCTTGGTGCCCTCTCGAGCCCAGGCCTGTGATACCCCGAGGCATGGCGGCACCACGTCCCCGCTCTCTGGGATCGGCTGTGCTGCGGTACTCTTGGGACTGTGTCTGTGCTCTGCCGTGGCAGCAGGCAACCCGCTCGTCCGTCGCACAGTCCGCGTCTCACGTGCTGCGATCCCCACAGCTGCCTGCACATTTTGTGCTCGCGTGCCCCCTGGTTACTGGAATATGGATTGGCCCTTCACGCCGTGTGCGCCTGACTCGGCCATCCGCGACTGTTTGCCTGGCATGGCCCCTGGCCCCGGCGGCGTATTGAGTGCGTTTCTGCTCCATCTTGTACCCGCTGCCCGCTGCTCGCACTGAACGATGATCAACACCTCCCTCGCCGACGGCATTCTGCGAAGTCCTTGGGAAATGGGGACGCCACTTCCATCCACATGCACGGGAAGGACACACGCCGCACAGGGAAATTTGTCGGCCACTCACGCTGCTCTTTGTCCTGCTAGGTGTGAGCGAAGGACTGATCCACCGCCGCCTGTCAGCACTGCTGGCACACCACCGACGTCAGCCTGGATCCACGCCACGACGCACGGCCTCGGACGTGGTGACGACTGTGAGTGACGAAGCGGCACGAGGGCTGAGCAGGTGCATCGCTGTGGAGTTCGAGCGTCGCAGGGGCGTCGTTCCGCGCTGCACCGTCGCCGCTCTCTCGCCGTCCCGATCGGCATCTCGACTGCGTTCGACACCGTTGGCGATGGGCGAGTGCTGGCTGTGCTCTGCGGGCTCCCGCGCGTGGGCCGTTGCGCCCAACGCTGGTAGCGCAATCACCTGCGAGGCGGCTGCGTTGGGGTGAGTGCTCGCGAGCAATATTCCCGACAGCAGCTTCCCTCAGCCGTGGCAGCCCAATGCAGCGTCGTGCGGCCCCAGCTCCTCCACCGCCACGCGGATGGTCTGCTGCGCCGCCTGGACGGCATTCACTTTGCGTCGGTGTTCACGCTGACAACCGCACGCTTGTTGCGTTGTGTGCGGACCTCCGTGCCTGTGGTGCGGCAATGCCAGCTGCCGTGTCCGTTGTGGCCACATGTGCTGCCGGGCACTGCCTGAGTATCATCGCCGACAGCAGCGGTGCCGCTCTGTTCTGCATCGCCTCACGCCGACAGTCTGACGAGGACACGGCCGACCATCGTCTGGGCGGTGGGAAGCCACGCGTCAATCCCACCCCGTGCGTCTGCTCGGCAATGCGACTGATCGACACCTCAATTTTGTTTTGCACGTCACCGCCGCTGCAGGGCAGACCGTGCCACGCCGCCGTCAGCTGCGGCTGGGCGCAGGAGCTGGTGCGTCCCAGCACACCATGCGATCCCTTCGGGTTGGGTGCGTCCACGGTGCGTTGCACCACGACAGCGAGGCAGTCGCACCGTGTCGGCCCCTACTCACCTCCACAGCCTGGAAGTGCGACACGGCGACAGCTGCACGGCATCGCTCGTCCCACGCGTATCAACGAAGGATGCTTCTGTCCACCTGGCCGCCAGTCCAGCACCGCTGCGGAGGATCGTTGGGTTCCGCGCACCCACACAGCACAAACGGCTCACACGTCTCCGTTATATTGAGGACGTGCGTGGCGCAGTATGCTCGGACACCACACCCTCGTCAATACCTGGGAAGGCAGCGACGAGCATTCTGCTGCCGAGAGATGCCGTCCTCAAGGAACTGCGACGCGTCCGCAGCCGCATGGGGATCTCCCCGGACCGCATCCGCGCCCCTCTTGTTGAGCACCGAGTTTTAGCCCGGGACACTGTGAGCTGCAGCGGGGTGGGCGTCTTCCGGCCACGGCACGCCAAGGACGCCCTGGACGGTGTCAGACGATCGGCCGTTGAAGCGGCCTGCACCTCTCTGGGGCCGTATTACGTAGGCCGCTGGACGGACGGCACGTTGTCTCTCGCTGAGCATGCATCTGGATCCGCTGCACTGCCACTTGACTCCCCGGACGGCCGAGCTCCCTGTGGGGCCTCACCGCACAGCTGCTGGCAGCCTTGCATGCACCTGCCGAGCGGAGTGTCCTGCCACTGAGCATGGCCTCAGACAGTTTTCAGTTCCCCGCCTGGCAGCAGCATCCCAATCGCCCACACGAGTTACTGTCGCCACAGCCTCCCTCTCGGCGATGGAGTCACTCCGCCTTGGCCCGCTGGCGGTGCACGACGACGTCAGCAAGGAGATTTGTATTGTGCCGCTTTCACTGGCGGATCGAGGTCGCACAGCTGAATCCACATTTCCCATGACACTGCGGAATCCCACGCAACGTGACAGCGGACGCTGATGCCGTCATGGCACGATCCCTCTCGCAGGACTGCGTCAATGCCTGGCACGTGGACTTCCTTACCGCCCTCAAGAGGTTATAATGGAAGGATGTCCAGGAGGAAAAGGGAGCCGCGCACACCGCGTGAGAGGCGCCTGTCGGTGTGGCGAGGACTCTGTTCCTGGTGTTGACCCGGACATTGGTCCCCGAGTGGCGGCACTGCGCACAGGCGCGATGCGGCTCCTGCCCACTCTTCGACAGGCCTGCACGCGCCCTGCAGATCACAAGGAACCCTTTGTGTCGGTGGTGCCGCCCCTTCCTCTCACTGAAGAGGCAGGACCGCCCCGACCTCCTCCGGAACCTCCACCTGGCGTGTCCACGGCACCTCCTCGTAGAATGAAAGGCAGCAGAGCAACGTCGCCCTGCCCAAGCTGCAGCAGCGTCTTCTCGTCCGTCCACAATATGAAGGCACACGCCCGACGCACTAACCCTGGCACTCCAATCGTTGCAGAAGGCCTCGCATGTGGATCCTGCGACAGCTCCACGGTCTTCCCAACAAGTGCCTCACGCGCAGGTCATTACCGAAAATGTCAAGCGTGTCGACGAGCAAAAAACGGACAACGCACCTCTGCAAGCTCCAATGACAGCCGTAGCCCTTCAGCCACTCCTCTGCTGCAAGCCCCACCAGCCGCTGAGCCGCCGACAATCCACGGGAGGCCCTGCCGCACACGCTGTGGGAATGCCGCCGTCCTCTACAACTGAGCATTCGACTATTTGGGAACACCACCTCTCGCACTACAGCACCGTTCAAGAAGGAAAAATTGGCCACATCGCTACGGACAGCCCGCAGGCCATTAACGAACAGTGGCTGAAAAGGATAACGAAACAAATATCTCCCTTTTCTCAGCATAGAAAAACGTCACCTTCACACTCGCAATTGCCACCAATGAATTCATTGCGTAATGCCGCTCTGAGCTGCAATACTTCCTGGTACCATCCGGGTCCCTTGTCGACACATCGATGCGGGTGGGCGCCCATCCATTCCTCCCAATGACGCTGCATGTCTGCGACGCACCCTCTGCTCCAAAAGGCACGTCCCTCACCACAGCCGGGATCGACTTCGCCTGTGGGCACGCATCGCCTTGTCAGAGGAGCAGGAGCACGTCAGGCTGGCAGCAAAGCGCTTGTCGGTACAACACATCACAAACATCACCACAAGCAGAAGCACCAGCAGCACCGCAGACGATGGGGTGACGTGGATCAACTGACGCATGCTTTACGTAACAGAAAACACTTCATGACTTGACAAGGATAGGAAACACTGACATTATCTCAAAATAAAAAATACAA